AACGGCAGAACTACCAGTGAACACAGGCCCTCCGACAAAAGCAGAAGTCCTGAATGCGATAAAACTGCTGAAATACGAGAAAGCAGCAGGACCAGATGAAAGTCCTCCAGCAGCACTGAAAACAGACCCAGAGACAACAGAGGACATGCAGAAGGTTTGAAAGGAAAGGTACCTGCTGATGCATTGGAAAAAGGGCTACCTTATCAAACTCCCAAAGAAGGACGACCTAAGTCTTTGCAAGAACTGTCGCAGAATCATGTTCCACCTCTGTCCACCCCAAGCAAAATATTAAGCTGCGTCATCGTGGAAAGACCAAAACATGCTCTGGGTTCAAAATTACGACCGGAACAGGCTGGCTGGCTGGAGGAACAAATCATGTGCGGACCAAATTGCAACGCCACTCTATGCATCACATAGAACAGAGTATAGAATGGCAGTCAACCCTCTACCTCAACTTCATCGACTTTAAGAAGGCCTTTGACGGCGTCCACCGAGAATCAATTTGGAAACTGCTTTAACACTACGGAATACTGCAAACCTTTATCAATCTCTTTCAACAACTATATGAAGCCACAACATGCCAAGTGATTCACAATGGAAAGCTCAGTGACGCCTTTGAAGTGAAGTGGAGACAGGAGTCAGACAAGGTTGCTGCCTACCATCACCGATCATCTTCCTGATTGTGGTCGACTGGATCATGCAACAAACTGTGAGGCACTGTGAGAAGATGGGCGTACGCCGTTTGACCGATGAAAAGAGCCTAGAAGATTCGGATTTATGTCTCATGTCTTGTCGCACAAACTTGAAGATCTACAGGTAGAAACCAACAAGTTGACAGAAGAGGCAGGGCAGCGAAAACGGGACTTGAAGTGAATATAGCGAAGACAGAGGTGATGAAGATACCCAACCACCACCACCAACAACAACAAGCACCAATCAAAACCAACGGGAGAAATCTAAAGGAAGTAGTCTATTTCACCCACCCAGGTAGCATCGTTTCAACTATGGGCGGCACAGACGATGTCAAAACCAGGATCGGAAAGACAGCAAGACAGGCCTTCATTAACCTGAAATCAGTGTGGAGATCTACTGCACTGCACTCAGCATAAAGCGTGAACGAGATCCTGATTTTCAACACCAATGTCAAGTCAGTGCTCCTATGTGATGGTTGAGAGACTTGGCGTGTTACGAAAAGCATTTCCAACAAACTACAGACATTCATCAACAGCTGCCTACGCTCACTCGATACCGAAGGTCAGATGGCCAGAAACAATAAGAATAAGCAACAAGGAACTCTGGCCTGGCAACGAACCAACCAAGAACCCATCTCCCAACAAATATGCAGAATAAGGTGGAGATGGATCGGATTGGGCATACACTGAGAAGGCCGATTGGGGACATCACGCGCCGGGCCAGATGCTCGAGTGGAATCCAAAGGGGAAACGACGAGTTATGCGTCCGAGTGTGACATGGAGGAGACGGTGTGAGAAAGAAATGAGAGCTTGTGGTCAGTCGTGGAGCCATGTTAAGAAGACTGTAGAGAAGAGAGTGAAATTGTGACGTGCTACTAAAGCCCAACGTTAAACTAGGAACCCACGCGACAAATAATAGTAATAATCGTCATAAAGTAATCAACTGAGTTTATGATGAGAGTTTGACAGTGACGTTCTACTATTGATCGGAAAGAAGTATGGCCATTACCTCCAGGCGATCGGCACTTCAGCAGTGCTACCTTCTGCTGATAAGTATTATGAGTTAGAAACTAGTCTCCAACTACTAATTTAGGTTGTTACCCGAGCTCCAACCGGCTAGTCTACGCTACCCTACACGGCTCAGACAAACAGTCGGAAACTTCACGAACTCATCAGTTTTTTTATTCTGAATCCCTTTAACCTTTTTACAACCTAAACCTACTTCAGTAGGTGTTATGTGAAAGTGACTAGGCATAAGAAACACATTACCACCTACCTTCAACACACGTACACACATTTCAACAAGATATCAGCGAAAGACTTTATCACCATTGAAGTTTGATGGCGCTGTTGAGTTAGGGAATTTGCAATGCCTATATGATTACCTGCGTGAATTCATTGTGGGAAAGTTGGGTTATATCTCACGGATCCCTCAGCAGCTAGATCAAAATATCTCTAGTTCGTAACTAGTGTGACTAAATACACAGGTGGGGAATCACTCACACGGTTTCATGGTTTAAACGTATGACTGGATTTACCTCAAAAACACCCAATATTTAGTGAAAAATTAATTCTCTAAAAGTAGACTGCTTGCTGAGTAGACTAGACTACGCTTCAAATAAATGAGACCAAGATACTAACCCTATAAGCCATACAGCTAACGTTGTTTTGAAATTTACAAGTCCCCGTTGATGTACGGGGCCAAACTGCTCGACCTCTGTTGGCAAACGGGCTCGTGTGCGGCTGCCTCGATACTTATGGATATTTATGGTGCTCTAGCTAATGTACCTCCTTACCGTGGATCCATCAGAGGACAGATGCTGCTAAAAACCTAAGGTGATGTTGAATACTGATGGCAATCACAAGGATACACATAATTCCCAAACAAACCTAAGTTGCAAATAAGCTTCTGTCTGACATACTATTCATCTCTCACTACCCTTCTTCAGCATCTCCGTAATACCTTATTCCTCTCACTAATTTTCGGAGCTGTAGGTGAGTGGCTTAGGGAGATGACTGCCAGCCAGCGGATTTCAGATTCGAACCCTGCTCCTCCTACAGAGGTTTGGGCAGCCAGGTAGTATCATTAGCTTTCACACAACAGGTGTGGCTTACTACCTACTACATGGATATGCACAAGGTGGTTGAGTGGGTTTCTTTCCACTAATTTTCTCCTGTTAAGCTCTGATGAAAGCGGTTTTGGATCAACACGTTATTGAGACAATTTCAGGTTTGTTCAAGCTTTCAATTTAGCTAAAGTTTCAATCCTACAGTTTTTGTCTATTACCTTTTTGAATAAATCAAAACAGACCGATTTTCAGTGACCTGTTTCATCTGAGAACAACTGTGAACATGGAAAATTAACCATTACTAGATTTAACTCTAAAGCATAGTGATAATGAACAAAGAAAACACAAAAGATGAAAATATAAAAGAAGGCAAGAAGAAGACTAGAAGGAATAAGGAAGGAGTGACGAGAAAACAGCCATACACTTTATACAGAGAAATGAAGTGATCTAGACTTTGAACTACGTTGATTATGGCATCGTTTCAAGGACTTCTGTTGGACAAGACGCTAGTCAGAATCCCTGAATATTCTCAAATGATATTAATAGTGGGTAGTGGTTAGTAGGACACATGTTTCGCCCTACTGTGGACTCGTCATCTGGATGTACCTGCCTCCTAGTGAGTGGTGATGTTCCCACTGAGATAGGAAACCACGACCAATAGCCTCAAACTCCAGAGTGTTATCTCCTACGCCATTGAGTCACAACAGTCGCCCCTTTTGCGACGAGCGTAATATGGTTTAGAAATTACAGCTTGTAATTTCCTGTCATTGGTTGGACCGAATTGATCGGCCATTATTTGTATCTGGGCTCTGTTGAGATTCTCGGGCACGATTAACTGTGGAAGCGTAATCTGGTTACTGGCTCGGTCGACATATGAAGACAATGTTGGACTAGAGCGAGTTTACTCTAATCCAGGTATAAAGGTACAACACAAGAACACAACTCTTGCGCTTACATACCGTGCACACGCCCTTAAGGCGAATCGACAAAATAGTATATTAAATGAGAGATTAACCAATAAAAAAAATAGAGTTCTTAAAAGCGGCAAAATTCAGCGATACACGTGGGGCAGAAAAAGGCTCCTAAAAAGATAATTCAAATTTTCCATAAGATAAATTCATAAAAATTTAGGCATAAAATGTTCATTTTGAAGGACATAACAACCTCCACGAGCTCCTGTGCGGATGCCTCGATACTCCCGGCATTTTTAGTTTGGTATTAATGACGAATAGTGGAACTGGAAATACCGGGAATATCGATGCATCCGCACAGCAGCCTATATGCCAATAGTGACCGATCAATTCCGTACAATCAAGGACACGAAAGCGAACGCCATAACATCTAAACTATTCTCGATGATTCAGAATAATAGCCAAAGAGCTAACCGATACTCGTCATATTTTCTTTTGATTACTTTTGTAAATTTACTCAACAAAATATTGCATGTTTAGGCAGATAGTGACTAAACATATCCAGCACATGTTAGTACCATCTTTGCCAGATGCTCGAGTGGAATCCAAAGGGGAAACGACGAGTTATGCCTCCGAGTGTGACATGGAGGAGACGGTGTGAGAAAGAAATGAGAGCTTGTGGTCAGTCGTGGAGCCATGTTAAGAAGACTGTAGAGAAGAGAGTGAAATTGTGACGTGCTACTAAAGCCCAACGTTAAACTAGGAACTCAAGGGACAAATGATAATAAATATGCATAGCGATGCTGAATTCATGAATATACTCGAATTATCCACAAACGTCTGTTCCTCCCTCTGTCCTAAAACTTTATGTCTTACTTAGTTGCTAAAATAGTCGAAGACGAAGGATTGGTCAGTGACTGTAAGAAGGATTTTTTGTTAAAGAAACATACCGTCTATGTATATCATTTTCATGTTTGTAAAAATACTCTAGAACGAAGACTTACTTGTTAACGGAAACGCGAGTTCGTTAACTGAGGTCATTCTGACTAATCAGCAACATCTAAATTAAGGCTAAAAAGCTTTTTATCTCGGTGACCAACGGCTTAATGTGTTGGCTTTCGTTTCATCCGCTTCCTATACATGCTTTTTATATTTTAACAGGAGCGTTTAAGATATCATGCTGGTTTGATTGACACATTCAGTTTTATTGATTTGCTGTCTACTTCAGTAAAGAAGACATAATCAGTCATTGCTTTTATTATTATTATTATTATTAATACTACTGTCATTGTTAGTAGTGTTATTACCTTTGTTATTATCTTCTGTAGGTACCGATATTACAAATAACGAGGAGGTAGCTATCAAATTAGAATGCGTTAAAGCAAAACATCCACAACTGCAAATTGAAGCTAAAATTTATCGGCTTATGCAAGGCGGTGGTAAGTATTTCCTTTTGTTTTAAAAAAACACTCCTCTCACTTTTGGAGGAGAATTTCTTCTCGTTATCTTGTTTTCTTTACTATTTTATTCTTGTCTGGAAATCGATTACACTAGAATAAATATACTTCTCGTCACTTCTTTTGTTTATCTCTTGTCTTCTTTCGCCTGTCTTCGGTTCTTTTTTATAGTTATTATTCTCCCTTCGCAACTATTATGCTACTGTTATGATATTCATGGGATTTAAATAATGAATCCAGTTAGGCAGTGAAAGGTGTGAAACACTATGTTTGTGGTATGTACAACAGATAAAAACGATATCAGAAATTAAAGTGTAATTGGAACTTCGTTTAAAAGTGGATTCTTTTAATCGCTTTCTTCTAGCAAAACTGGTCAAAGTATCTGTTAGTTCACTAGTCCAAATCTGTCCATGAACTAGACTGTTCGAACTGAATTCATTATCTTCCTAAAATGACTCTTACTTACCATTGTAAATGTTCTACAATTTTTAACTGTCATCTAAAGAGTTTTTACTCTAGGCATATACTTGCAAGGTTATATTTCAGATCAAATAGCTACTTCTTGCAGTCGTACAGTGGCATAGCACTGAGTTTTAGCCTAGATAGTGTACTTCTTTACTGACTCCCAATTGCTCAATATCTATATTTTCTTTGACTATGTATATATCAAGAGGATGATAGTCCATGGATGACATAATGAAATGATTGATATGGATTAGGGAGGTTCAAGTGAAATGATTCATTGTGATTACTAAAACTGAAGTCATCTTGTGTTTACATACTCACATTGTCATTCTGCTATATGTGACCAAATGACATGGAATAGAAAGTATTACGTATGTGATAAATTAATAATGTAAACATAGGGTCATTTTTTTTTTTGCATGGGTTAAGGTCAAGTCAGACAGGGTCAAGTAGTAAACTGGTGGAGATGAAATAATAATTACTTGTGAATTTAGTTGTAAAATGGGGATAAAAGTACAGAATTTTGGAAGGGATTGTACTGAATGACAAAGGCCAGTGGCTACCATGGAAGTTAGAGGCTAACAACTGCCTCTTTTTGAATTCATAAGTTTGGTCTAATTCTTCTGATGGCAATTCTGAAAATTTTAGTAGCTTAGCCTTGTGTTGTTTGTTTGGTTTGTCAAACATGGCAACAAAAATAGTGTCACCATATATGAGCTCTCATTTAAATGGAAAATTGTCATGAATAGTGAAGATTAATCAGAATGTGACTGGAGTTGTATAAAGATGAGTAAGTTTCAATGAAAAGTTTTATAACGACAAAATATTTGGAAACTTAAACGTGATTGAAAGGAACATAGAAGCAAGAATGACTAGTAGATTGCGTAAGAAGTGAATAACGTAAAAAGAAAGAGATGATTTCAAAGACCGTGAAATGAGAAGAAGTTCAACAACTTTCTTTTGCGTGCAAAGTTCAGGTATCTCCATTTAGATGGCAACAGCTTCGGTGACGCAGATAGTACGAAGGCATACAGCCACTGAAAGGTTTATTCTCACTTTATAAATGACTTTGGATGAAAAGGTTCTTGAGATAAGGTGATCTGTATTGATGACGTGTTCAATTATATCACTTTTTATCGACCCACTGTTACCTCTTTTTAATCACATGCGATAGTGCTCCTGAACACTTTTGGAAAACAGTTGCATCGAACAGCATTTATATCTGCCTTCACAAGAGGTAATAATAATGATCGCTTTATTCCAAACAACACGTGTTGTATAGTATGGAGTTCTCAGCAAATAATAGTTCAACAAATTCATTCCGTGTACAATATCTTTCAGAGAAATAATCATTTCTTTTGAACAATGTTAATAATAACAGTAAGAAAATGAAACAGGCACTTGGTATTCATTATATTATCGTCTGATTTGGAATGTTGAATGATTAGAAAATCGAGCGTAATTTTGATGGTGGTAGTTGATCTAATCAGTACCAAAATCTGCAATTTGACATATTTATCCAAAGAATAGTAATGTAATATATTTCTGTGCATTTGAAACTATTCTGAAAGTACATGGCGCGTTTTAAAAGGACACATTAAAAAAATTAAAACAAATCAATTGTGTATACAGCTTTCAGAATGAAATCGTTGAAAAGAGACTCTTTACTGAGGTACGCATTCTTCTTCCTTGTTCTGATGGTCATCTTTCGTACATTATAAAAAGGTGTTTATCCATATATATCCTTCAGCGCATTAACTAAGAGAGAGCTTAGTGCTTTCAAATTCCTCACTCTTTTGAGGTTCAAATAACACGTGAGTAGATTTTACTGACCCACTAGCATACACACATTCTCCTCATAATAAAGTTTTCCCTACATTTAGTCTTTGAAGTTGCTGACTGTTACAAATTACTACACCAACTGAATAACAGATCCATCTTAACATTTTATCGAACTCATTCTTATGTGTCAGTGTGAGTTGCGTAATATAAATGAAAACTGGACCATTGTTAGACCATTCTTAAAATTTTTTTAAATAAATTCAATCGACCACCAAGTATTTTCCAAACTATACTTTACACCAATGTAGTGACTCTTTATATTCCCTGACAGAATTGTGTTTGTCTGTGTACCATTTATGCATTCACATTCGTTGTGTAAAACTACATATGTATATTTGCTTACGTTTGTTCCACTTAAGTTCATCAGTATTACTATGATAACTAGATGAATATTGTTCTATAAACAATCCATTCAATTGTTATGTTTAGACGATTGTATTGTCAAGTTAACGGTAAACAGAATCTTACACTTTACCATCTAACTAGTTTCCGGATTTCAAAAAAGTATTGAATACTGAGTCCGCTTGGTTTAGATCAACCTCACCTACTAGTAAACGGTGGTGTATTCAGCTTCGAGAAAGCTTAATTTATCGGCATTATTGAAGAAGAAAAGATGACAGTGACGATAAATATCTTTTTGATGACTCACTTTCACAGTTGTACATTTGTAAAGACATAGTTACAATAATCGAATCTTCTAGACAAGTTTCCAGCCAAAGGTCAAGGTTAATCGATAGATGTTTAAAGGGTCTTGCAAGTTAAGCGGAATTGATAAAAAATGCAATGAACTATCACATTTGGTATTTAGTAAAAATAAATCAGACGTCACAAACATACATGCAAAGTATCTGTTTACCACCACGGTAAAGATAATATTTGTACATGTTTCTTTTAAATACACAAGTGGGGTTTAAAGCTGTGGATTGCCAATGCTTTGACCGTGTATAGGCGTTTACTCCTCTCCTTTTTTGAATGGTTTAGTTGGACTTTGTAGAGAACGAGGTTTCCAGGGGAACCAAAAGTCCAGAATCTACTTGGTGTTCGTCGATGCAGCTGGAGATGGTATTGCGTTCACGCTTCAAAAACCAGACTAACTGATGTTGGCAACCCTAGTTTTTTTATGTGAGCGCATAGTACGGCCGATATACTCAGCTCCGCAGCAGCAAGCGAACTTGTATATATACGTTACTGCAATCCAATGCGTCAACTTGTATTTCACACACTGACGATGAATTCTCGTGTTGCGTAATATCGTCTCATTCCCTCTCCATATCTATCGATGAAGTCTGACCTTTGACCGGAAACTTGTCTTGAAAATCATTCTATCATTTCACTTATAAATTAACGAGTATATAACTATGAAAACGAGTCATCGGGAAGATAATAGTCCTCGCTGTAACCTCCTTTTTGTTTTCCAATGACTAACTAATGAAAATTCTTCGTTATTAGCCTCACTTGAATTAGGCTGGCTTATTTACGTGAACCAATATACTACTGAATTGGATAAACAAGTTGCATGTTATTCGGGAATGGATTAAATACATTGAACTGTTTAAGTCCATTTTAGAAATAAATCAAGATCACTGTTTTGTTCTCTCTAGAATAAATTATTATTTCATCGGCGTATATGCTAATTAATAATATTAGCAGTTCTACATCTTTTATCTTCCTGTACACATCCTCAAGGAACTGGTTCTTAAATGTACTATGAATGTACATTTTGTCTTCAGTAGCTCCTGTTATAGGCAGATTGATGGAATAGCTATGGGTTCATCACTCGGTCCTATTTTAGCTGATATATTTCTTGCTAAACTGGAGAATGGAGCATTGAAAAAGGTCATTAAGGAGATGAGTACGTATCACCGTTATATTCACAACACATTCATTATTCTGGATCAGGATGCTGATACGAACGAGGTGTTAAGAAAATTTAATGAAGTGCACCCAGTAAACTACACTTTTGAATGTCTTGCTAAACAGAAGAGAAAATGGTTCACTCAGCAGATGTGTTTACAGGAAGATCACATCTATAAGTCATCATACACATTTTCTAAGTCATGTACCAATTCGGTACAAAGCAAACCTGGTTAAATGACTCGCTAACAGAGCGCGAAAAACATGTTCGAATGATCTGGTACAGAAGGAGTTAGAATATGTTTCTAATTCATTGGTTGAAATGGGATACCCTATCAGTTTCATAAGAGGACACATGGACAAAGCCAAGGGAAACAAACCTGGAATTTTTACCACACAAAAGAAACCGTTGTTTATGAAATTGCAGTTTGATTGGGATGTAGCCGGAGAAGTTTTGTATCAGAGACTCTTTAGAGCCATTAAGAGGACCTTCTACGCTGCACAACTCTGTCTATCATTTTCCAGTCGACCAATTGTTGCTGCTCAGACTGAAGATAAGGTATCTGGTTTTCCCATTTCTATGTGTATTTACAAGTTTAGCTGCTCCTGTGGAGAAATCTATATAGGACGTACTACTAGACAACCTAACAAACGTATTTTTAGGCACCTAATTTCATGGTTGGGATAGGGACAGATAAAATCCATCAAGGTTCGGTTTTATCTCACCTCGTTGACAGTGGTCACTTGGTAGATAGAAACAATGCTTTCACGACTATTCACCGCATGCCACCTCATCTTTCGAAATGTGTTTGAACCCATCTTTTACACATAGCAGAAGCTGTGGAAATTCGAGCTAATAATCCTAGCCTTTATATCCCAAAGAAATTTGTGCATCCCTTATATCTCCCTTGACCAGGGAATACTTATTTAATAACTTTATCATTCACTTTTCTTTTCCTTCCCCTTTTCTTATTTTTCACCCCTTTCATATACTTACTGCAATTGTCTAAGCTTTTAAATTTTGAGGGGGTTGTGGAGATTTGGAAATATTTCAAGTTGTTATTCATCGAAGGCTGACATCAGTTTATTCACTTACTTTGCCGTTCACTATTGCGTAACTTTTATTTTCACAAGCTTTTGACCCATTTTGATTATCGGAGTGTCTACATTTTCATTCTGCTTTCTTGGTTCTTATCATCTATATTGCACGTACTTTAGTCAACGTTATCACTTTATCATTATTATTTGTATTATCTCCATCGTTATTTTAAACATTTATCACATCAACCGACAAATCTCTCTCTCTCTCTCTCTCTCTCTCTCTATATATATATATATATATATATATATATATATATATATATAATGAGCTGTAGAGCTAAACAAAGAAACCAATCATTCAGTATTTATATCACACTAGTCAAGCTAGTAGGATTTTCATACAATTCTTCCCTTTCACAAATTTGTATAAAGCAAGAAGAACAATGGTGTGGGAGAATAAGACTGCATGTATTTCGTCAATCCTCCTTAGCCGCTTTACAGCTTATGGGAATATAATGTTTGTAATGGAAAGCAGTATGTCACACAACGCACTTTAGTAAATCGACAGAAAATTTTCAAATTGAGGTAGAAGGTAACAAAGATTTAGGTCGACCGACATTGATGAGGTTGTTTATTAAGTCTACTCAAAGGTCAACTATGTACATAGTGATAGAATGAACATTTTAGAGATAGTAAAATGAATTTATATATATATATATATATATATATATATATATATATATATATATATATAATGTTATTCTAGAATTGGTAAAAACAGACGTCATCAAAGACCAACAGGTTTTCATTATATTGAGCAGTAAGATGAATACAACTTAAAAGTGAGTGTAGATTTTGAAATAGATCAAAAATGCAGCCTAAATTACTGGGGATCATGAGGTCAAGAGATCTTGTATTGACAAGTTTAGGAGATTAAAATAACCAAGGTAATGCAAGGTTGAAAACAGTATCTTTCGAAATACAAAAATCAGGTTTGAGTCTTTTAATTGTGACTACTTCAACAAACCACAAGAATGGGTTTCAGTCGTTTATTCATCACTCTGAATGACCTTTAATACGTTGACTTTATGTCTAGTATCAAGGAAATGCCAGGCGATTGCACTATTTTAAACACTATGAACCCTTAAGATTCAAATTCTTCGGGATATTTTCAGAAATCCGAAAACAACCCTTCTCTCTGTTCTTATGTATCTGCTTTGGCACTTCCTATGAATTTGCAGATACACTTGTAGTTAACAAGATTCCGGAACTTATCCACTTTGGACTGTTTAAATGAGCTTTCAGTTTGATACACACAGACTAACTTGGCGGCTGGATAGGTGATTTTTATTACAGCGCTCAGTCTGTGACTCATCCATACGACGATTTCATTTCTTTTTAAGGTAAGATGTAGATATACGATTTTCTGTTGGTCAACTGTACTGCACTTAATTCTCCTCTCCTCTGTTCCACGATATTTGTCAATGAACTTTTGCGCGTAGACAATTTTCGACAAAGATCAGTTCTTCTTGAATACTTTCTTCAGAGCGCAGTTTTGCGTGTACGGTTGAAAAGTATTCTTTCCAGACATTTTGTAATTAATTGACTTAAATGGAATCACAATCGATCACAGTGCCCAAGTTTTACTCTTATATTAATGATTGAGCAAAAGTTGTTGCATTGTAAACAAAGCCCACTCTAGTGGTCTTTCCGATGAATGTACCTGTGAATCTTTCCATCTGTATGACGTTTTGGGCTCAGGTCTAGGAAAAAAATTCACCGTAGTGTTCAGTTTCCATTTTGAATGATGCATTGGGATACGCTTCATTAAAAATATTCAATAAGTGAGAGGCATGTTCATTATTGCATACAGCAAGTGTATCGTCAATGTACTTTGCGTAGAATGCTGTTTAGTCGACTACATATTCGAGTTTTGTCTGTTCTAGACTCCCCATGAAGACAGCAGCGAGAATCGGGCTTAGAGGGATCCCAATGGCGACTTCATCGATTTGACGGTATGCAGAACGTCACTGAATTGAAATCGCACAGTCTTTGTACACATCAACAGAAGTTATTTGAATTCATATTTTTTGGAAGGTGGAAGTAGTTCTGGATATCCACATACCATGTCTACCGTCTCTTCGAGTGGTATTTTTCTAAATAAGGATGATGCATTGAGAGAAATCATGAATTTCTCAAACATATTAAAATCCTTCCCCATTCCTACGAATTCCATCATCATCATCTCTATCAACATAGGGTCAGGCATTACTGCGTAACGGTCCAACTTACCACACCTCATATCAGCACATCAAGTAGGAATGACAGTGAAGTGGAAGATGAAGATAAGAAAATTCAGTCAAAAGAAATATGAAGTACGAAAAGAGAGAAAGGAAGAATGAGAAAATGGTGAGATTCGGTAGTGTTAAGATGAGGATAATGTGTGTATACATCTGCGCCATTGACATTGGTTTTCAGCCATATGGTCACCTAGAGTCTCCAACCACTGGTTCCTCTTGTCCCGCAGACCCCAACCGGCTAGTCTACATCGCCCCACATGACTCAAACCAACAGTCAAAGACTTCATACATTGATGCCATGTTTTAGTCTGGCCACCTTGGACCTTTTTCCAGCCTGAACCTACTTCAGCCAACATTGTGTGATGGGGCAATCGACGACTAGGCATACGTAACATGTGTCCCAACCATCTCAGTCGATGAAGGTCCACAACCTCGTCAAGTGATTTTCTTCTTCTCCCTAAAACTCTATACCTGACATTTTGAGTTACTCACGTGGTGACACCACGGAATACGACCTATACCACGAAGGCAACGGTGGTCAAATACCTGTAACCTTCTCATGTCTTCCACTTTCAATGGCCATGTTTCAAAGCCATACCTGGCCCCGGGGTTGAAGATGATTAGGAATGCTCCGACCGTGGTTGGAGGGTTACCATTACACCTCGGCAGATTGAAACTCGTAATGAACCGTAATCGGTTGCGCTCGGACGTGTAGTTTTTGTCAGTGGGGAGGCCTTACGGTCCTCCCTTTAAATTAAAAACAAATATTACACCACTACGAATTCCAAGGCATCTTTCAAAATGCTAGCGGTTAGTTTTGTTCAGATAGGTTGTTAATGTTTTGCCAACCAATCGGTAAGTTCGTTTCACTTTTTTGAGTAACTAGTCACAGGAAGAAAATATTATTTCACTCAACCATAGAACATTATTTGAATGTCGAATATACAACTGTTTTTCAGTTCTGCTACTTCGGGTGTTACATCTTCTGTTTGACATTATGGTCAACAGAGTAATGTTTTGTTAGTTTGTAAACAAAATTTATTTTAAAATGTTCACAAAAGTCTAGTTTCCACTCGACTGATCTGAAGATTCGACTTTCAGCTTTGAATCCTGCTTTACCTTACGAGGTTTTGGCAGGAAGTGTTGCTTATCGCACAAATAGGCACTTGGTCAACGAGTGCATTTCGATGTCGTCTGCTGCATTTCTACTGAGTAGAACGGTTCCTTTGCTTGTGTCGTTGTTTTGACTTACTACTTTTGTGGATAGTTACACTTTGAGAATATAATGAATAATATAGATGGAAATTATAGCTCCTTTGATCAATGTCCAATCCAATCATTACCTCTGATTCCCTTTTGAATTTCCCACATACATTTGGCTCATATAGTAATGCTACACACGTACGGCAGATACACACCTTTCGTAAAAAACCGAATGGTATTAATTCCAACGTTTTCTTTGTTAATTTTCTTCCTAGTTGGAATTCCTTGTCTTAAATGGTCTGGGACAGAAGGCGATTACAATGTTTTAGTTCTTCAACTACTTGGTCCTAGTTTAGAAGATTTATTCAATTTCTGTGGTCGAAGATTTAAATTGAAAACAGTACTTTTATTAGCTGATCAAATAATTACACGTGTAGAATATATACAGAATAAAAATTTTATCCATCGGTAAGTTTATGTTCCAGTGAGTTAAATTGGCATTTTTTAATTTAATTCTTTGAGAGATATTCTTAGTTAACTCCAGACTGTTTTCAGTGTACACGTTATGAGATTTTAAGGCGAAACAAAGAAGAGAGAGAGATAGTATATTGTCACAAGTTTTGAGTCGTCAGTCTACGAATTACTGACGTAACCTACCTCGCCTAACACGTGAAACTTACGCTGTTGTCGTGAATTTACCCTATCAAATGCACCAAGTAGGCTGGGATACTACATGATGTTTAGTTGTGTGCCAGGTTTTCAATGATGGTTATATGCTATGTGTATGTTATCTGGTTTCGTAATTCAGTCAGTAAAACATCCGACCGATAGTCAAGTGACCACTGTGTTTAAATCCTTCTGCAACTTAGACTTTCGTTTGACCTTCAATCATTATGCCTGTGAATTACTATTATTTCGTTGCGAATTAAAGTATTACTCATCATTAATGTCTTCAAAGATGACACACGAGATCTTCAGGGTCTAATCCCATCTTTAATTGAGTTTTCTGAAGGGAAAGTAGAAGGTGAATAATTGTACAATCATAGTACTGGAAAACGATGGCGATATGTTGTTAATTGTTTGGACTTCGAAGTATCAACCAGCTTATTAATTTCTATCCGTTTAAGAATGAATAACTTGTAAGTGGAGGTGTCGCTCATCGGTTTAGGGAGTTAACTTTCGACCAAGTTAGCCGCGAATTCGAACTCCACTTCACCTACTGAGGTTTAGACAGTCACATAATATATATGGCTCATTTCCTACTGCACAAATGTGTAAAAGGTCACTGAATGGATTTAGTTTTCGTTTTTTGTATAACTTGTTGGGAATTCTATTAGCACTTAGTTCAACCCACGAGAGGTTACAAGCATATAACCTTTTAAAATATAACATGATACAACGATTCAGTGCTGTATGGATTCCCACTATTATTTAGTAATACCACTTCGTGAATGAGTTTTACTATCTAAGGAAAAACGGTTTCACGGATATCGGAGGTAAATACGACACGTTAATTTTTTTGCGAATCCCCAGGCTTCTTTCGTTTTACTGCATTTTCATTCTTGATATATATCTACATACCTTTCTTCCTTTTCTGCCTAATTGTGCTGATTTTAGATTTATTTGCGTCGTGTTTCCTATTGGTTGCATTTTTACCTCCCAAAGGGTCTCTTTACGTATTCCACTTCTATATACTAAATGTATCAGCGATTCTATTTTGTTTAAATGATATCTTAATAATCTTGAAAGCTTCAAAAAATACGCTAGTCAACGGAGATTCACCGCGAGGCAGCTAGTAGTCTATGTGAGCTGTGGCTTATTAGATTAGGACGATAACTTTCAAGTAACGGGTCACGGTTTCGAACTCTGCTCCACCTACCGAGGTTTGGGCAGCTGCCACATAATAGGTATTGGTTGTTGTCTGGCTGCTGTATAAATATGCACAAGGTCACTGAATGCATTCCGATTTTTTCAAGTAGTTAGTGTATGTCTGAGGGAGTGAGGATATTTTTTCAGAATGGAATCCTTCAAACATTACAAATCGGGAAAATCAGTTCACTGCTATGTTTGTCATTGATAAAGTAGCTTTTAATAATTAAATATGCATTCTTGTTTGATAATACACATCGGAAACACATTAATGCCAGTTGTTGACGTTGTATTATAGTTAGTCATTCAGTAGCAACATGGGATCTATGACTACTACCTAGTGATTCATCTTATATCGAAATGCACTCAGCCACCTTGTGCACATTCGTGCACTAGGCAATGAGCGAAATCTATTTTTTTAGGGCTATTGATGATACTACGTGGCTGCCCAAACCTCGGTCGATGGGGTGGAGTTCAGACTCATAACCACCTAAAACAATGAACCACAGCCTCACATCTTATGTCAGCATACCACGAAGGAGTGAGACAACAACAAAACAAAAGATAATGAGATGTAAATAATTCAGTAAAAGTTGTAAACACCATAAAAGTCAATAAAGAATAAGGAAGGTAAAGCAGAAACAACTAAAAATTGTATGAAAGCTAATTATACAAATATTTTCTTTCTTCTAACATACACCTATCCAGTGTAGTAATCACTAACCATTTCTGTTATATAGTCATATTCTCATTTGGATTCTTCGCATTTTTGTTTTCGGAAGATCAAATTACTTGAGTTATGCATTTATTAAATGCTCATTTTCTTTTCTATCCTGAATTTCTATGAGAAGTTTCCTTGCCAGTTAAACCTGACTTTACTCACTTACTGTTTGTTTTTATTTAGTTGTGTTAAACAGGAGGTTGTAATGATGATAATAATAACAAGTGTTATGTGCTTTTTCGATACATAATAGATCAATAGGTCATCATGGAGTGACATCAGTCAGAGAAACATTGGAAAAATGGGAGTACTAGACAGCTATTTCGTTCTTGTGTGAGACTACGCAGCAGTGCACACCAATGACCTCACCCTGGCGGGGCTCGAACCCAAGACCTTCGGGTTTTGTGACCAACAGGTTACTATTGAGCCACTGGGTCGGAATCCATGGTGCATACTTTCTACTTCTGTCAGTTCACTATACAGCGCAGTCTCCATCCAATATCGCCGTTGAGTAACTATCCTCATGTTCAACTTGGTTGACCCCGCTGGCGGGGTCATGAGTGCACACTGCTGAGGAGTTCCATACTAGGACGAAACAATTGTCCGGTGCTCCAAGGTTTCCAATGCTTCTCCAACTGACACAATAGGTCAGATGATGAACACTTTCATTGTATTAGATATGAGGTCCTTATGACTAACACTTTACGAGACTAGTTAGCTAGTTTCCAGCATAACTACTAATATGCTTAGTAATTAAAAATAATATTTATTTTCGACTTGTATAGTAAATGATAGGGGAGATGTGGCTCATTCATTGATCTAGGCACTACTAGATTTCCAACCGGATTGATCACCGGTCCCAACCCGGTTTAGACCACTAGGTGGTATCATTACCCTCGACACAGTAGGTGTGATTCGTTGCCTACTGCATGTGTACAACGTTGCTGTCAGTAGATTTCAATGTTAAGTGATACCTTTTTTGTGGATGGATAAGTAATGTTGCGGTTTGATGAGAAGTCGCTTAAAATAAGTTGTCTATTTTATTCAATGCATCACTAGTATTATGATTATGTATAAAGGCAGTAGACAGGTGGTTGTAATTACCTAGTATTCACTTTTTCTATAGGCCCCCTAATATTAAGATATGTTTATAATGTCAGTTTTGTTACATATTTAGCACACTAGTATGTAATACAAGGTATAATTATGTCTATTGGTGTGTTCCTATAGAGAAGTTTGATTTATGCCTCATAGTTGTACAACACTTGATAGCAGTTGAAAATTAATTCTTGATACCGCTTATAAATTAGGTGATTTTAAAAGTGATATTTGACTTTTAGATGATGAATTCTATGACCGTGTTTGTTTATGCTGTGTTAGGTAAGTAAGTAATAAAAGGTACCTGATAGCATGGCATAATTGACTTTCATCGATTGGACTGGTTGGAACATGTTGATAGCGTGCTGATTCAGTATTCTTTGTCTACTTTAATATGCCATTGTTGATTAAAATAGGATTAGGCTCAAAAATAAAAAAAGGAAGACGTGACGTTAATTCATTATTTCTTTCACTGTTGGTATGATTCTTGTGAAATCTTGTGGACTTTTTATGCCTGGCATCCGTGAAACAATTGGGATCTATGGTTACAGGTTGCTATATCTTTATAGACGCCACCTGAATTATATATAATACAATGGCTTTGATTATTTCTGGGCCTTTCTATAACACTATGTTCTATTGACTTTTGATTTTTCAGTCAATTTGATATCTCGTTGGTTCTCAGCTCAGATACATAAGACCCATTCGAGATTTTTCAACTTGCATCACCTTTGGCACTGATTGGTGAGATATCCGACTATCTATCGAAGGATGAGTATACTGTAGTGCAGTCGGTTCTATCCTATTATTACGGCTGAGGCATGGCTGTTAAAGGTAGATTACATGAAAGGGTCACAGGGTTTTGGTCACGTGACGTGAAGGGTCATAAATAAGACTAAGACAAGCAAGTCGATTGATGAGGTTGTGAACTTTAGTCGATTGAAATGGGTTGGACATATACTGCGCATGCCGAGCCGCCCAGTGCTTACCTTGATGTACCATGCTGTATGAAGTTATATCAGGTTGGGAGAAGTTTCAGGGTGACCAAACCAAGAGTTGGGTCAGACGATGAAGTTCCTGACTTTTGGTCTAAGTCGTGCAAGGAGATGTAGATTGCCTGGTTGGGGTCCCCGAGGCCACAGGAATCAGTATTTGAGGACCCTTGGTGACATCGTTGGAAATCGGTCACAATCACGCGGATATATTTACTCCTTGACATCTTCTAAAGCTTGGATATTCGTACTGGCCTTTATCTTCAGCTTATTTATTCTCTAATGTAACTTTGTCTACTTTGATATCACTCTTTTCCTATTCACTTTTTCTTTGTATATTACTGTGGATTGTAGTAGCTTGAGGTGATACACGTGTGTGCGAGGTTCACTGACTCAGTCAGGGATTTAGTACTTTTCATGAAGATCTTGGTAATCATATAGCTTGACATTGTACATAACAGTCAGTTCACATTACCAAAATGATCAAACCTGTAAACTGGTTTGTTTTCATGTAACTTATGTTGTATGAAATATATTATTATTTTTATTATTATTGTATTGTACACTATAACACAGGTTTTTGATGATATGACTCAAAAAAAAACCCTCAAAAAAGTAGAAAATCTTCGTTCTCCCCAGTAGCTGATGTTAATGTTTCATATACTCATATTAACTGTGACAACTTAAATGAATAGATATACACAGTCGGTTTCAATATATTTTGTTTATGAGTTGTATTTTCACTGCACAGATGAAACGTAATTCAATCGTTTCTTTTGAAATTTACT